GAGAGAGAGAGAGAGAGAGAGAGAGAGAGAGAGAGAGAGAGAGAGAGAGAGAGAGAGAGATTTGCCATTCGGGGCGATTGGGTGCATTGAGTGGGTTTTCATGGTTGTGAGGGAATTAGTTTTCGTTTCCACGGCCTATTTCCAGTCTTGCCAGGGGGTCTGAAACTGAAATAGAACATCTGATAGGATTCCTAAGTTGATATGGGTGAAGTCAACCACCCCTGAAAAAAAAAAAAAAAAAAAAAAAAAAAAAACCCTTTCTGGTAAGGTTATTGCTAGCCCTAGCCCTGGACAAGCTATGGGTTTGTAGGCATCGGTCAGTCAAATGCATCCTGGGGCCAAGTCCCACTAGCAGCGTTGAGCTACCTCAACGCCGGAAACTGGACGCTTTTCCGGAGATGTGCAGAATTGGGGTTGAAAACCAATTCTAGCAGCGTTGAGCAACCTCAACGCGTTGAACTGCACGTCTCCCCAAACCCGTCCAGATTCATGCGTTGGGGTAGCTCAACGCTGCTAGTGGGACTTGATCCCTGGACTAACTGCTGAGGTTCAACCTACTGATCAGTCGGGGAAAGTTCATTAGAACAGGTTGGTAGAGCCATTCTCTCTCTTTTTTTTTTTTTTCCCTGTTTTTTGGTCCGATGGACCAGTGATCAGATATTAAACTGATCAGAACAGATACAGTGCACTTGATCTTGGCCACGAGGCCGAGAAAGGTATGCCATTCTCTCTTTTATGGAGCAGTGCTTAGCAAACATCACATTACATGCACACGTGCACTCACACGTGCAAAGCACAAGAAAGAAAGCTGACAGCAGCGGGCTAGCTTAGCTGGTAAGGCAGACAAGTGGAATTCAGGAAGGTCATGGGTTCGATTCCATTCAATTTGGCCTCATGTACCCACCTGAGCATACTTGGGGCCTGCAATCTAGAGATAAGCCCGTTACTCCCGACCCTCACCCCCATCTGAATTAAGCGGACACTTGTATCCCCCACCCTCACCCCCATCTGCACTAAATGTGGACACTTCTGATGTTGGTAGGGGGTGGGGTGATTGGGGTGGCACAACAACGGGCAACATGATAGATCCTACTGCTACCCGCTGAACCCTGGCCCCTGGCCCCTGGCCAGTGTTGCCACTTAGTCTCTGAGGGACTGGGTGAAGCCTCTACTCTCGTGTGAGAGTTTTGGCTGCTAGGGGTTCATCCCCCCCCAGAAGGCAATAAGGCCCCTCTGTCAGAGTAGACAGAAGATTGAATTTACCTAAGCTGTTAGGGGTTCATCCCAGAAGGCAATAAGACCACACTCACAAATGGTTAACAGGTAGCCCCACTTTTCACCCTTAGGGTAACCTTCACAACCCTGAAAAGTGCAGTGGGGATCATTTTTTTTGTTTTGCCCTGTTTTGTTTGTGGTCATATCCAAAGGCCATTGCACCCTGCATTGTAAGTAATTAAACCGCCACTACCCCCGACGTTGAGAACTCGGGGGGACCCGTAGGCAGATATTCGCAATCGACTGTTGGCCTACCGGTAGTACAGTGTGGGGCGCGTTTTTTTTAATTATTATTTTTATTTATTTATTTATTTTTATATGTGGGGTGCGTTCGGTTGGTGCAAAAAAAAAAAAAAAAAAAAAAAAGAACACCAATAAAGTTGAATAAACCCAGTGTCCTGAGTGGGCATCCACCAACAGTGCATTCGTGATCCGTCTTGACCACTGTCTTTCCCGGAACAGAACGTATGGTCATTATAGCTGTATTTGGTCAGCTTTCAGTCTAGATGCACGCGGATGTTGTATCCGGGGGAAGATGATAGCATTCCTAAGTTTTTTGTCTCAGCAGATCTATCAGCCCTAGGTAGTCCTCCTCCATCCCCATCCCTAGGTGAGCAGATGGGCTCCCAAAAAACTACTTTTGAAATGAAATTGTATGTACACATCAGCACAGCGTTCATAACTCTTGTTGTATCATAATGGGACGTTGTGGACCGGATTTCCAGCAAGTGCAGCTTCCCAGCAATAGATGGAGCTTCTGTTTTCCAAAAAAAAAAAAAAAAAAAAAAAAAGTTGAAATGCCCCTCACAGTTTGGGTATTTTGTCAGATACCCCTAAAAGGCGGGGGTATGGCGAAATGCCCCTATAACAGACGTGGAACTTTGTGAAATACCCCACTTGCCAATTGGACCTGTCATCTTTTGCATATACCCCTACCGGGCGCTGCGGCAACTTGTCTACATGCCCCCTATTTTAGGCCCTGGAGATTGCAAAAGAAATGCACGGCCCCTGCAGCCCAGGCCCAGGGCATATGGCGAAGTTGCCAGTGAGCGGGGCAGGGGCACATGCAGAAGTTTGGGCCATTTCAGCGTACCCCTGTGGTTTAGGGGTATCTAACGAGATACCCAACGTCTTAGGGGTATTTCAACAATACCTCCCCCCCACGGCCGCCCACACACACAAAAAAAAAAAAAAAAAAAAAGAAAGCTCCATAGGGTTTCCAGAGGAATTTAGCTGCTCGTCTTCTCATCAGTGGATATGGCTGTTGGCCAAGATGACGCCAACGGACAGGAGGGGAGCAAACAAGGCACACCATTTTGCATAATTGCCCTCCTGAGCAGGGACATGTTTGGGGCTTCTCCCCAAGTTTCCTACATAACGAGGACGTACCCTTTTAGAAGGAGACCATCCTGGGTTACTATATATAGAATTCCAACCTGACGGTGGCCTTCAGTCTTCCCCCGAATACAACGTACGGTCGTTATAGTTGAATTTGGTGTATCTTTCGGTCTAAATTCAGCTATAATGACTGTACCTTGTATTCGGGGGAAGACTGTAGGAGTGCCTCCTCAACTCACTGATTTTATTTATTTATTTATTTATCATTATTTTTTTTTTTTTTTTTGGTACATTCGAAAGTCCATGTTGTTGTAGAGGCCAGTCACTGATTTTTTGCAATGTTCTATTTACAGTGCAGAGCCAGGAGAGCAATCTGTACCCCAAGGAACTTTTCTGATTCACCTTGAACAGCTTGTCTCAAACCCTTTTTTTTTTTTTTTTTTTTTGGGACAATGCTCCAGTCTATTCATGGGGAGCAACACCTGCTGGGAACCGGGGGCCCAGCGTCCCATTTGAAAATATATTGGAAAATATATTGGAAAACATTTGCAGAGGAAATTGAGATTTGGGGGCCATTACCCGGCTTCGGCTGAGAATAGCTACTATGCTCTTTTTCTAGAAAATTTAAGGAGGGTCGTAGACCCCCTTTAAAGCACCAGCACACCACATATCGGCCGGCGGGTGTCAGCACGAAACCCGCACCACTTCGGAGGCCGCCAATTTTTTTTTGAAAGGCGGGCCTGGTGGCGTGGCGCCTCCGAGTTTTGCTTGTGGTGACAAAAACTTTCTGCAAGGCTGGGGCCGTGTACTAGCGGGTTTAACCTATTCCCCAACATACTCTGGAGATAGACTAAAGCCCAAAAGGGCTATGAGATTACTTCAAATCTCTAGTCCATAGGAGCATTCAGCCTGAAACCAAAAACTACCTTTATGCCAATCACCAACTCAACCCTAACCTACCTCAACCCCATTTACGTCTCGTACCCCACTTTACTCCAGAAGCAAATTTCCTCTGAAGGAAGCAAGCTGACTCACCCGTGCCAGAACCTTGCGACAGTGCAGGGCACTAACCTAAGCATTCCATGAGGGCCCTAAATGAAGAGCAGGAGTCTTTCGCGATGACCAACGAGTCATCTGCACGGGGCTTTGACCCTGCAGTTAACTGGACTAGCAGGAAGACCTCATCTCCTGGTGCTGTTGAGTGGGACTTGTAATTGGACAAGAAACAGTAGTGGGGCTACCGGGCACCCTCGCCTGTGAGAAAGAGAGTCGGTAAGAATTCACAGGAGAGGAGGCATTGGCGTTCACCATGACAGAAGCAGTGGATAGAGCATTAGAGCTACCAGAGAATACTAAAAAAACAATGTAATACCTTTCTCCGCCTCTTCTTCTTTTTTTTTTTTTTTTTTTTTAACTGAACAAA